TATAATCCCTTCGTCAGTATGATCCGATCAATTACGAGATATGGAGTTGTGTCAATCTCGATCATGTCTTTCACTCCACTATTAAGTCAATATAAATCGAAAACTCCTTTTCGACTTATGTGTACACCTTGGCCAAGGATTTCATCATTGACTTAATTGAATGAAACGCAGATCATAATCTCCTACTATCTAAGAGTGACGAATCCTTTATTGATCAATCACAACCTTCATACGATTCTTGACGTACCCGAACGATGTCGTATTAGCGGCCCTTTTCAGAGCAACATCCAACACCGCCAAAGTATGACTGTCCTCATATAAGGTACCATGACGACCTCAAGTCAAAGGACCAATTTCACTACCGAACGTTAGAGATTAACCACCGACACTCAGATAGTTATCCATGTGGAATCTCTCGACGGGTCTCCAATGTTTTGTTCTATAACAAACATCCACGTGTTCATTTAAGTGTCACCACACTTTAACTTGTGAGATCAGCTACTTACTTCACAAGTAAGAAATGCCACACGTGATGGTCTATCCGTAATAACGATATCCGTATCTCGTTATTACTTACGACCACGGATGATTTAAGATTCAATCAGATGTAATTTGTATCTCACAATCACAACTCCTTGTGATTAATAAATTACAAATATTTGAATTTACGGACTCTATTATTTATTTAATTGTCTATTAATTAAATAATAGATCTGCCATTTAATTACATTAATTATATATAAAAGTATTTATATCCAAAGTCGATTGGACCTAGGGCATAATACTTACAAGTTTCTCAGTGATGATGCTTTGAGAAATTGTTTACTTATTCCAATTGTCAGAGAAGTAAGGAGAGTGAAGTACGATCACTCTTTTTGTGTTTTGCTTATTCATTTATTTGGGAGGATGTTCGAGGGACGGAGAAACATAGAAACGGTGCTTTTAGTTTATACGTGATACATGTACGGCCAGAACAAAGGGAAGTTATACAATGAAGAATGTGATCGTTTCATGGTGAGACTTCCAATCACATTAAGCTCTTTTAATTTGTATCGATTTTCTTCCCTTTTTAATGATGTGAAAATCACCTTGCTCTGTCTTACGTCATTGCCTCTCACAGATATGCATGGTTCACAAGGTCGGGTATGGTAACTGGGATGAGCTGAAGGCAGCTTTCCGTATGTCGCCATTGTTCGGTTTTGATTGGTTTGAAAAGTCTTGTACAACACAAGAACTTGCAAGAAGATGTGATACGCTTATTAGGTTAGTGGAGAGGGAAAACCATGAAAATGATGAGATAGAGAGACGTGCTTTAGAAGAGAAAAAACTGGCTAAGGTAGGTTGATCATCTTACTCAATCCTCTGTCGCATAAGCATATTAGGCTTTGCGTGAAGCCCATGACTTCTCCTTAATTCCTAGTATTTTTAGCTTTTAAATAACCTTTTTAAATTTTTTGTTCCCAACAAAATGTGATGCCATCTAAGCGTGCCATGGCCAGACAAGCTGCCGAGAGGCAAGAGGCCCCCTTCAACCTTGAAAAAGCACCAGCAATCATCAGCGAATGACTGTGTGAGTTGAACTCGGTATGTTCTTGTGGATATGGTTTTCTATTTCGCTCTTTTAGCTGCTTTTTTGTCTGTGGGGTAAACCGAGCTTCGATCTTTTGACAGGGAAAGAAGAAATGATGCAGGACTATTTGGTGGATCATTGAGTGTACTATTCAGATATTAACTAGTATAAATTATTGAATACATGTAGCACAGGCTGTGTTGTCTAAGCTATAGAATATCTATTCGGATGAGCAGAGAGGATGCTTTAAATATCCCCATCAAGGGCTGTTTAATATGTACCCGATTGGCAAAAATTACAGTTTTAATATAATAGTAATGAGGGATTTATTGGTACTGTGTACATATTTCTTGGTAAATTCTGTTCTCACCAGTTATGTTGCAGAATTGGTTCAGAGAGAGGAGTGCTTGTAGAATTTGCCTGGTTTGTAGGTAACAGTTCTAGATAGTTCGATCGAGTAGAAATCATACAACACCGTTTAATACAAATAGGTTAAGATTGTAAGTATAGCTCGCCAGGTTAAGCGTTGTCGTATTGTTTGGAGAATTGAACGAATGAATTTCTGACGATGCTTAGTTTGTGTTTGATATATAATATTGGCATATAAATAATATTACTTGTATTTAATGTAGTTATATAATGATTTACATACAGTTGAAGTGTCAAAAAAGAATGGGAATTTTTTTTAATTTTAATTTTAATTTTTATCTTTTTGAGAAAGTTCTAACCCCATCATATATCACCACATCATGTGAATGTAAACTATTATGTACATGTAACATAATCATAAGCATATCGAGCCAAAATAAATACAGTGCATATTCTGCACGTGGAGTAGGCGAGAGGGGTCTGATTTATTGATTTTAGCTATGTGAAGATCAAACCTTTTTCTATAAGCAAAACAAAATGACTCAGAAATCCTTTCACATTTAGCTCTACAATATAAAATGAACCAATGTAAGCCCCAAGGAAAACCAACTTGAGGCTCTCTTACACAAGACTATATACGGAGGAAAGATACACTTCTCCTAGCATAACAGTGATACATTGGGCAACGAATCATTTGTACAGTCAAAACTAACACCGCCATTTGCCCTCTTTCGTCCTCTCCAATTCTCACCCCACACTTTTGCATCAGCAACTGCTCGTTCTTTGTCTAGGTCCCGGTTCCTTGGAGTTTCTCTACCTCTACCTGCACTAACAGGCGTGTCTCTTTCAGAATCAGGACGCTCTGGCTCGTCTAAACCCCATTTCCGGCCAGAACCGCCACCAGTTTCAATCCTCCGCAACTCTCCATTATTGAACTCCTTGAAAGAGTCTCTCTTCCTGAAATCCGGCGAATTCTTGTTGACAGAAGGGGAACCATGGTGGCTCCTGCGTCCAGACTCGTCCAGGGTATCAGTTCCAATAGACATGTTTCTTCGTGCATCCCGATGCCTCAGAGTGGATGCATCAATTCTATTGCTCTGGGAAGAAGGATCATTAGGGTCATATGTTTGGGATGCTAGATATGTCAAAGCAGTCACCACATCTCCAATTAGGGGTCGTGTGGCAGCTTGCTCTTGTAGGCACATGGCAGCCACTGCTAGTGCCTGATAAAGTCCACGTATAGGATAATGGCCTTGCAGTCGAGGATCGGCCATCTTCGGAAACTTCATTCGATCCCTGAAAAGTGGTCTTGCCTGCATCAATTTACACAAAACGAATGAAAGAAAAGGAGACATCAATCGACGTCATCAACATGCTGTCCAATAAATTATCATGCAATTTCAAGTCGAGTACCATATATACATCGTTAGAAAAACACGACCTACCCACGCAACAAGATTCTGCTCGCCTGGAGCCTGCCTGTTATCGATTGCCTTGCGCCCTGTGATGATTTCAAGAAAGACAACTCCGAAACTGTAAACATCAGATTTCAAAGTGAGTTGACCAGTCATAGCATATTCTGGAGCACAATAACCATACGTCCCCATCACCCTTGTAGAAACGTGAGTTTTATCACCAACGGGACCCAGTTTTGCAAGCCCAAAATCTGACAACTTGGGGAAATATCCCTCGTCGAGAAGTATATTGGACGATTTCAAGTCTCTGTATATCACAGGAGGGTTGGCTTTATCATGCAAATATTCTAATCCCTTCGCTGCGCCAGCAGCTATCTTCATTCTTGTATTCCAATCCAGAGGTTTCTTTTCCGGCAGAAGATCTGCACGTAGATACCATGTCAGTAATCGGGTAGGTCTACAAAATCGTCATTCAATTACTCTTTTCAAACAAAAAAGGGCAAAGACCACAACAGATTATTGTTTTACACTTGCATTTTTATTTCCAATAGATATCTTCTCAATTATTAAACTACGGAAACTTCCAAGCACAATATTAATCCAGTTTTGGTCTATGTATAAAACCCAGGCTCAAACTTAGAAATCAGAGGAAGATTCGGTCTCAGCCTGACTAAAGGATTAGCCTGTGATATACTCCAACTGCATCCCATCGTTTTCATATTCATTCCACACTGTCTTGGTGTTGTCAAATATCATCAAACAGGAAAGAGGGTCCAAAACTGATTAAATAAATGAAGCGATTTATTTATTTTTATTAATCGCGTGACGAAATAATATCAGAAGAATAATGTTTGATCCCCTAATAAGTGGTTGTTAAAATTTAGGCATCCTTCCTCTCACTCCAAGAAATACTTCAACTTTCTATGTCAACTCTAATTTTATCATGTCATCAGCGGAGAATCAAGACTTTTTACAAGTTAAATTTTCTGCTGTTTAAAGAAGTAGAAAAGGTACTGGGGGCTAGCTATAACTGTTATGGTCTATAACAATCTCTACAAGGTACAAAGTGAAGATTCTTATACCACAGATCCTTCATAGACTATTAAGTTTCCAGTGTATGTGTAGGATGGAATATTGGATAGGACAGGAGATTTTAATTTTGTTTCTTTAATCTTCGCTAATAATGTTAGGTAGTATCCAATCTTCCCAATAATCCTGCCAGAACTTTACTGCTTGCAGCTATCATTAAGTTAATAATAATTCTAATTATGCAGCCCTAAATGTTGATAGAGTAAGCCATCATTTGGACACAATTTATAAATTATAAATTCAGTCAAATTCAAACATTAATTTCAACCACATTCAAAAACACTATTCATTTATTATCGCATATTTTGTGGGACCCAAAAGTATTCCTCCTAAAAAAATACTAATAAGCAAGTGCTAATTATTATCCACAAATTTCATGGGACCATTACTATTTCTTACTATTCCTCATTATAAACAATTTATAAATTTGCCAAACGGAAGGCTTATACTTCTATTTTTCGAAGAACGAATAACAATGTACAAACTAGCACAAAGTTTGCAGAAGTTAGCAGCACTAGTTAGACACCTCAAATTCAAAAATAGCTCAAAATCATGAAATCAAGCACAAACCTAAACAATGAAAAAGCTAATGGTCCTCTGTCGATCTTACTGTTGTCCTGCCATTTAAGATAAGTACATAGAACGATGTGAATGAGGCTGTATTCTAAGCCATTTCATCATCCTTTAACAAGCAGGAAGATCCAAGGACTAGCTACAATATTTATACAATTATTTTCTTAAATACACATGGAGAAATGCATACGCACTTAATTTCCAACTACTAGCATCCTAATGATGGGACAAATCAAGATGTTCTAGTAACATTTCTATATTACAGGAGGAAGCTCAGGCTAACAGCTAGAAACGAACAGGCATAATATAACAAGTATGATAGCATTTCTTAAGCTTCTTTTTAAAGAAACGTGGGAGAATCTATTCACTTCAAGGCTTAATGATAGAATCTTGCTTATAGCATGGTCGATAAGCACACACGTCAAAAAGTCACAGAATAGAAGGACAAATGGAAGCACAATATCAGAGGTCCACGTCTCAAAAGAATTGTATTTAAATTGTACTTTACAATCTTTCTGAGTTGATAAGTTATGTATATATTGAATTTGAATCCATGCTAAATGTTTCCGGAGATTCTTTCCCACTATAAACAAACAGTGGTTTCTCATAAAGTCATATTACAGTAACACAGTTAGATAAATATTAGCTTTGGGCTACAAGGAATTTAAATAAGCTCTAGCTTAGACAAGTCATAAGCTTTTTCCCCGTTCTCGGTGAAAGGTCACTTATCGAATCAGAATTCACGAGTTAAGTTCTATAATGTGTTAAGAAGATCCAAATAAAAGTGTATTAGCCAATCTCTAACTCTATAGTGAGGCAGGGCGCTGCACGTCAAAATTACCTTGTATTTCACGATTAGTTCGAGAGAGAACAACAAGACATACACTCAGGGCAAGGGCTTTTAAATCGAGTGAATGGCCAATGACTTCCCATCACCACCCTCACCCCTGGTACATTTTTTTTATATTTTATTCTGTACAAAGGTCCCTACGAAATCTAATTTCATGATATATAGCACTCAACAATGTGCCCTTCTTAAGTTAACAACTCAATCTCAATGGCAATAGAAGGGCCACGTGATGAGAATCATTGCCTTTATTCTTAGCAAAGAAAAAATTATAAAGTCAGTGACAGTTGGAGTAAAAGACTTGCACAACGCAAAGTTTTCAAAAATTTGAGGGGAAAAGGTTCGGTCGAGCCCCAAACCAAGGATATAGGAGGGAGGAATATGGACCACTTCAACAGAAGTTTGGTTCAATATTTTGGTTTAATATTTCTCCTTGCATGATTAATGATGTCCTTTCTGACACACACTAGCTTGACAGCATGATCACCAAATTCACATTCCGCATATAGCATATGAGTTGCTAAATTCTAGCAATGAGCATCCATACAACTAGTTGCATGTTATTAATTTGGATTTGGAAATTAAGTTTATTCTTTCTTCGTTTTTGGTAACATTTGAAATTATGAGTTCTGGGTTCGGAAACCTTTTCTGAATGAAAAATCCATTCAATGCACCTAGAAGCACTCATTTCTAAGATTCTATTACTGCAAACCAAGGTCATGCGAACTCTCTTATTTTATCCTCTTCAACTCTTCAAATGGACTTGTAATCTTACATAGTCCTCTCTTATCAGGAACAACACGAGAGAGAAGGGATCAAATGATACTGGTAGTCAAATTCAAGCAAGATATCAATGATAATGTTAGAATGTGTTGAGAGGTACAACCATACGTAACTGTTACTATTATTACTAGAATAAGCAATCCTACAGTCTCCCATAGCCACCCGCAGCAGCCATTACTGGAGGTGGAGGTATTGTCCCTGCTTGGAGGTCAAAAACTTTTCTGATCCCACCATTTTATATAACAAATAAGTCCCTTTATATTCTCAATAGCTGACCCTCTTTGAAAAACGGTAGCCCAGTAAGAGGCCTTCAAACAGCCCTCATCCACCTTCTCCACAGCAATCAGTTAGCATGATTTGCATGATTAATAGTGTCATTCCTGATGCACACTAGCTTGACGGCATGGTCCTTTCTCCATTTTTGGTTTAACATTTGAAATTATGGGTTCAAAAACCTTTTCTACAAAATTCCATGCAGCACTTGGGAGTACTTCATTTCTAAGATTCTATCAACCACCAAAGCTGCAAAGCAATGTCCTCGGGACTCTCACATTTTTTCCCCTTTAACTTTTCAAATGATCTAGTATCATTCGTAATCCGGTAATGCCAGGAACACCATATGAGAAAAGAGATCATATGATATTGCCATACTGGTGTCAAGTTCAAGCAAGAAACTTATCCATGATGATGCCAGAATATTCTGAGGGATTTGCCCAACACAACTGTTACTATTATTACTAGAATATAGCCACCTGCAGCAGTTGCTGGACATGGAGGTATTCTCGCCTGCTCGGAAGTCTAAAACTTCTCTTATCCCACCATTTTATTTACAAAAAAAGTCGCTCCATATTTTCTGCATATGACACTCCTTCAAGTCCATATCCTGGTGAGAGGACTTTGAACTGCATCCACCAACCTTCTCCATAGCATTCAGTTAGAATGATTTGCACCCACACACCATGGGAACTTGCTAGCAAAATGTGGCTATGGACATCTCCACCTTAATTATGTCCATTTGATCATTTGACATTCTTTATTTCTAAGTACAAATGTTTACCAAATGGAATTTCGCACATCTTTAAAAAAGTACTAATGCTTACAAACCATAAACTAATTTTACTCTTTCAGTAATAATTTTAAGTCAACTCAAATACTATATATGAGCAGTAATTTCATAGACAATATACAACAAGGTAAATATAGGTATGTGTATGTTGTATAGTAACTGTTATGTCGTTCTCAAAATAAAACAACCAATATGCCAAAAATATAATCCATTACAAGTACAATGAGATCAAATATTTGGCAACCACATCAACCCTTGTTAATTGTGGTCTACCAATACATCTTTTAACCAAGTCTACTGAGCTCATATCGCTCCTATAGATGAAAGCTTTTTTAAGTTCTATGTGAGTATGCCCCATCTAAGTCTTCACCGTCTGCATCATTCTACCATCAATAGGTGGCATCTCCACTAGTTGGATAAATTCTATTATTTTATCCATTCACAAGTATGGCTGTATATCTATCTTAAACATCTTCACTTATGGCACATTTATCTTATGTAAATCTTATAACTACTAAATGCCCCTAATGTACAGCTAATCCAATAACCATTGGCACTTCTGTGACAGGAAACTTGTATCATTTTTGTTATAGAAGGAATGAATTGCAATGGAATATGCAGCAGTAACCAAATTGTAGTGAAGAGATATTGCAATTGGTATTTATTGAACAACAGAAATTATATCTGTACTCGTACAAATACTGAAAGAAGAAAGCAGAAAATTTTACAATGACATGCTAAGCATTCGAGAGGCTTTAGTTTCTCTCCCTAATCCCCACTCAATTTCTTGATAGATCCCAGCAGAATACCCCCCACCCCTATCTAGTTTGGGTCACTGATTCCCCACAATACCCCTTAACAAACTACAAATGAGCTGGCACAAATATATAATCCGCTGCAGATGAGCTCACTTCATCACCACTCTTCAGCCCTCCAGATTTCTTTTCTCCATTGAGCATGTAAAGAATTACAAGGAATATCATTCTTACTTCTCCATTTCTCCCAACTTGTTCTAGTCTTTTGAATTACACCGCCTTCACTTCCTATTTCCTAGTAAATATTCAAACTTAAATAGCTAAAACTCTCCTTCTCTAGGACAGCACGATTATCTTAGTATCTCCACTGTTGTTGTTTTATCCTATTACACCTAAAAGAATGATCTATGTATTCTCTTCTGCTTCTATATAACCTTATACTTTTAGATTCCAAGAGCTCTATGAAAGTTCTAATTTCACAATCATAATATTATGAATTATGTCATCAACATATATTACATATTGAGAGAGCTTATCTTGTATACGTTTTGCAAGCTCATCTATAACTAAAACCGAAGGATAAGGACCCTTGGCTTGAGGTGTCAAAATGGGCAGAGCTTCCTAGGCCTGACATGGCCTGTGCCATACCTATCTCTCCAAGCCTAAGGCTCATGCAGGCTCTTTTTCAATTCATTTTTTTTTCAAAAAATAAACAAAAATAAAAAGAAAGAAGAAACTATTGTGCAGAATGGGGGCCTTGTCTATTTGTGGATGGGACGAACCAGCTCAACCTACCAAAAAATGCAAGCCATATTATTATGCAAATTTTGCTTCTCTCTTCTATGGTTTTCCATCAATATCGGAAGGAGGTAGATGATCATAGATAATACAGAAAAGTTTTTTTGGCTGGGCAAAACTAACCATGTAAATGGTCTTCTAGAGATCCCAATGGCATATACTCGTAAACGAGAAGCCGTTGATCTCCATCAGCACAATATCCTATCAAGTTGACAAGATTCGGATGGTGTAAGAGGCTAAGCATGAGAACCTCCACCAAAAACTCTCTATTCCCTTGGAGACCATTTCGATCAAGCTGTTTAACAGCAACCACCTGCACACATAACCGATGGCAATAGAAGTTATTGAAGGAAGATTAAACATATTGACAAAAATTCCAAGACAACATAAAGCGCGGAAGGCATTCATCTTCCACTTTGATCAGTTGACTCATAATCAAGGATGACCTACCTGTCCCGTGCTTTCCAATTGACCTTTGTAAACATGTCCAAACCCACCTTCACCCAGCAAACACTCTGGTCTAAAGTTCTGAGTTGCAGATGCAAGCTCACGAAATGTAAATGTTTGCGCAGCTATATATGCCAGAGGCTCTTTAGGAGATGCTGCTTCCTTCTTGGGATCATTACCACTCCGAGATTTTGATTTATCTGGAATGCCAAAAGATTTAGACAGGATAATTAAAAAGAAAACAGTGAACAGGAAGCTGTAAATGATCAACACATCTAAATCTAACACAATTGTAAAAACAATCTACAACTCTAACCATCTGAGGGGAGTTTTTCCTTCTAAATAATTCTCACTATTTTAATTCGTTAAAATCCCACTCCACTGCTGCAGAAATAATTTCATATCGCATAGCAATGATGCTACATTTTATGATGCATTCCTTAACTTACAAATGCAGATTTGAAGAATGCATTCTGAGAATAATATGACCATCTGCACTTATTCACTCAAAGATGGGAAAAAAAATTAATAAGGATGAAATAAGGATGAAACGGGAAACAGTTACCAGCATTTCCTTGTGTGATGCTTTATTAGAATTCATAAAATTAATCAAAGTTGAAGCATTCAAGGATCACTAACTAGATGCAAAAATTCACATAAAAGCTAAAAATACACCAAGTATTCCTGGATATTAAACGGCAGAAAAGCTAGAAGCAATCCCCAACCAAAAGTTTCTTTATGATCAAATCCTACCAGTCCTATTAGACTCAAAATTACCCAAATCCTTAAAATTGAAAGAAAAGAAGTTCAGATCGTGACAAAGAAAATATTTTTTACAGCAAATACGACAAAAGAACTAATTTCAAAGCACAATTATGGATCAAAAAACCCAAGAAAGTACAATTTTCCTCAAAATTGAAGGGGGAAAGTCCTAAATTAAAATTATTACCTGAACTGGTTCGGTTCACATGGTTATGAGACTGAGCTCCAGAACCTTCTTTAAACGACTCCTTTTTCGCCACTTCTTTTACAGCATTGACATTATTTTGTTCCTTCTCTGACGATCCAAAGCATGGGAGACAGCCCATCTCGAATTAAAAAAATGAACCCAAAATTATCAATCAATCTATCAGTACCTATCTATGTGTTCATATAAATGTTTTTCACCACCAACTGGGTTTTTTCAGCTATTGCAGACAGCCCATCTCATAAAAATCCTAATTTTGAACTTCCTTTGGGAAATCTCCATTTGTGAATCGAATCAGCTCAACAGCGGATCAACACACTGATAATTTGGAGACAAAAGAAGATCAAGAATACGAGGAAGGTAAAGGAAATAATTTGCATTAAATATTAATTATGCAATAAAAGAATAAAAATAAAAAATCTGTAGCCTGTAATTGTATGAATGTTTGCTTGCTTTTATACATGGAAAGAGAGAATTGTAAGTGGTAAAAGTCAAAAAAAGGAAATTTATCTTTTTGGCGATTTAAATTTAGTAAGAGCGTAATTATATGAATCCTTTTCTGCATAATCTCCTTGGAACTGTGCAATACGTGTCTAAATATTTGGGTATAGAGGTTTCAACTTTTTGTAATATAGCACATTAGTTTTCGACTTTTGCAATGATCATCTCAAGCACTCTTATCAACTCAATTCTCAAGTTTGTAGATCTCGAGCTAATGATTCTTCACTTACTTAGCTCCTCTCTGATTTAGCTAAAAAATTGATAAAAATCTAAATTGAAAGCACTAATTAATTTTAACCAGATTTCATAGATCTACACATTTTTAATCACATGTTTCATTATCTTTTATTAAGATCGAATTTTAGCAAATCCAAACAGGCCTTAATCATTAGAAATGTAATTGCTTATTAAAAAGATAGATTATACTGTGATTTCAATAGAAATAAGATAAAAGAAAAATATCATTTTGTTTTCCATCATCGTCCGATTTTAGATTTGCCCGTGAGTGCTTGAGGGTCATTAGGCGAGAAAGATTTATTCTCCAAGTCAGATTATTGGGACTTTTTCTTTCGCAAATATCCCTTGTGGAGACGTCCCTAATCTGAGGAAATGAAGTTTTTCTTAACTTGCACATTATTAAATAGGGAATAAGGAATGTGGTATTGAAAAGAATATGAACTTGAGTTGGTAGGTTGAATTTCGGCCGAAGAGTAATAGGAAGGGATTTTCACACAGACAAGATTGCATCACATGGTCATGGAGTAGAGCATGAGCTACATATTGAAGTAGCAATTGGGTGTGAGGACTCACAATTGCAATGAAATTTAGTATTTATCTATTATATCTTCCAAAGAGTTAGACATGTGAAAATTAAGCTTATTCAAGTGAGTTGTAGAACACATTGTTGCAAACTTAGCCCTCGTTTGGTTTGGTTAAAAATCAGATTTTAGTAGATTTGGTAGAAGTTTATGAAATGTATAGTTGAAAAGTTAATAAAAGTTGTATGTCTCATTAAATGTGTAGTAGAAAATTAGTTTGGGAAAAAAAAAGTTTTAGATAATTGGGATCAAACAAGGGCTTAAATTGTAGGATGAGCTTACAGTAAAAGTTAAGTTGGGGGCAATTTGTTACCTAGTAAAATAGTTGAGGAATTCCAGAACTATTTATCCTAAATGTTTTATATAACATTGTAAATTTATCTTAGATCCAAGTTCAACAACAAAAGTTATTGATGACTTATCAGCGATGTTATCTTTTTGAGCATGGCAGGGTGGATTAGAGCGATGAATTGTGCGAATGCCTCTATATACGCGTGTTAATTATGTATTGTGCACATAAAAAATACAGGCGTCAATTATAAAACGTGATAATTGATGACGTTACTTCACATGTTTTTACAAGTATAGTACAAAGATAACAACTAAATACGCTAATGGAGGGAGGGAGCACGCATCTCTCGAATTATGGGATTTTCTAATAACTTTCGAATTTGGTTGAATAAATAACCATTTATGAAGAAAGTTGTGCATAATATTTGAATAAGACGACTTTGGTCATGACGGTGAGTTTTCTTTTTTCTTTTTTGTTTTTTAGGTAATAATTATGTCTTTAGGAAATTTTTGTGTTTGTTTGTTTTATTTTGTATTTACATGCATGTATATGATTCCACTTATTTTTCCAATCATTTTGATTGGTTATGTCCAATGAAAACTCTTTTTAGAATAGTAATGAAAACTTGATTGTTTTAAAAATTTGGTGATTATTCTTTTCTATTTTTTTTTTTACTATGTTATAATTGTATTTTATGTATGGTTAAATCAAAGTTCATTACTTTTGTACTTTCATAATTAACTTTCTAAATAAAATAGGCAGCTTTACCATTTTTCAAATGCTGCTCTTTTTCTAGCTATAGATGCATAGCTGACTGTGGCCAAATATGCCATAGTGTTATGTAATCAAAATCTTGGCTTCGCCACTAAATAAATGTGTGCTTTCAATACGTGTAAAAAATAAATATGTTAATTGCATAATTATGGCCCTGTTTGAGCCCCATTATTTTTTCATTAAAATGAAAAATATGATCGTTATTCATCATATCAAATCATCATATTTGACTTTTTATCTCTTATGTGGGGTCCATAACGATTATATTTTTCATTCTCATTTTTATAATAATATGGTTCAAACGGGGGGCTATATTTTTAGTAAATAAATAGTTTATACAATTTCTGGTATTTTCCATAACATTTTATGCAGGACAATTTATCAAAACCATTGCATTTGCACAAAATGTAAATCTAAGACTTGTCTTCTTGAAGTTATGTTTAATTCATCAAATTCCATTATTGACTATGGACATCCATGAATGAATGTACGTCCTGACATTACATTTTACATTTACAAACAATTTGAGAGTAGTAAAAAGTCATGAAATTGTATTTTTTTTCTTAATTTAAATGTTATAGTACGGTTTGAATATCAATATGATCTATCACGAACAATCGATTATCATAGAAGTACAAATTTCACAATAAATGTTGATGAAAAGATTGTTGTGAAGAGTACCAAGGGCATATTACATAGTGCTTTTGATTTTATTTCTTGTACCAGAACTTTTTGAAAAAGTTATTATAGATCATATTTCTCTAGAATGTCTTTGAGTCAGATAAAATAATATCAAAAAATTATTCAAATTGTTAAAAACTACTTAATTTCAAAAGTAATTTTTGACTTTTCAAAGGTTCTACCAAACAAATCCTAATTTCTTGAGTAATACCTCCATTATTATTGCATCTACCCATGTAAACAGGATAAAATTAAATTGACAATAAATTTTTTTGGTACATCTACCATATATTGTTGTAGACTATAATGCTGATGAATGAATCGATGTAACTGCTCGTTATAAGAAAATGATGTCAACAAACAATTGTTTTTATTGTACAAAAGGACGTGAATAAAGCAAAGCAAAAAATAAAATAAAATAAAATAAAATACCCTTCGAATTTGCTTCTTACCACTCGGCTAAAAGCTCTAGAATGAAGCTCATGAACCCGAAAATGAAAAAAGAGAATCAATCAATGAATGAAAAAAACCGCTTACCTAGAAAGGGAGGACAGGTTGGTTTGAGGACCCGTTGGTCAAAGGAAAGGGAAGGTCCTGATTCCGGGACGGAGCCGTATGACTAATAAATCAATATATACCATGAAATTTATGTTTGTATAAATAAGAATCATATAGAGCTGGAAATGTGTGTATACCTTTTAAACTTAACAGCTTGCTAATTCAGTCCTAAGGGTATATAATTGCATTAACTGTTTAGATTAAGGGAAAAAATAATTACTTCGTAGGGAGAAAATGTTGTTAGTAGACTATAAAAGAGTATTTTGCAAAATGTTTCAAAATTAGTCATAATGGAGCAAATACGATTTTCAAGTTATAAAGGAAGAAATTTTCAAGAGTCTTTGTTTTCTTATTTCATTTATCGAGGCCACGACAAAATATCTTGAACAATATATTTCACATTAAAATCTTAATTTTCATATTTTTAAAATAAATATGGGTTTGTTTAATAGGATTTTTGGTATTGCTTCTATTTTATATAGAAGAACTATATGATGGAAGTATCTTATGGCAATTTTATCTAAAATCTCTTTAATAACCAAATAAAGCATTTCTA